GTTCTTGACAGCGTGTTTGGACATGGCAAACTGTCTTTTCAACATATGAATTTAATGTAGCTGTTTCGTCTAATATTAATTATTCATAACTCTAATTTTTGTCCGAATCATTTCAAGAAAGAAAATTACCTAATCGTTCATATCAGTAAGAATAAATATGAGATAAAAAATGGAATAATACGACAGTCGGAACTGTCTTCATAGTTGTCGTATCACAAGATTATACATATATTTGTTTTAAATTTGCAATACATTGTCGAGCAAATTCAATAACTTCAGCATGATAATTAATATTACTATTAGAATCTACACCATTAAATTTTCATCTTTATATATGTATAGGAATTCACCATTAAATTCAATTATAGGTATGAAAAATGCCCGTAATAGAAATTAATCATCGTCCCGATGCGCTCAAACGTGTTTTTCTTTTTTCTGGAGTTTTTCTTTTGAATTCCCACACGTCCATACGTATTTCAAGATATCAATTTTGTTTCTTTCAAAGTTATTTTTTCCTTTTTAAATGCGTCTGAGCGCATTTATTAATCGACATTACTTTAGTTTTAGAGAAAGAACATCGGACATTTTTCTAAGAAAAAAAAGAGCGGAATGTGTGGCATTCTGAAATCCATATTGTTCCTTTCACAAATGAGCGGTATCTATTTTTGATCTCCAGTACATAGATTCGATGCTAAACATTCGTCAGGACTCTGTAAGAAAACGTAAGAATGAGTGAAAAGTGTTTTTTGTTCTGTGCTTATTATGCTTCATCATACACAGAAGCGAAACATTTTTCGAATACTGTACAATGAGAAAAAGAAAAGGATCATGCGGAATCATACTTTTTAAACCCAGGAGAAAAAAGACGGGCAATAAACTGCTCATTAACTGCCAGTTTACAGTCTGCCTAAAAACTGCCAGTTGACAACGTGTTAACTGTCTAAAAACCACCTAAAAACTATCTAGTTTATTGGCCCTTTTTAGGTCTGCAAAAATACCGTCTAATAACTGCCAGTAAACGGAAAAGCCAAAAAACAGCTAGTTAACTGTGTGGTTAATGGTCCATTGACAGACAGTTAACTGGCTTTTTTTGGTCTTACCGTT